TTGTACTCTTGTCCCATTTATGTTATATTTTATACATCATCTGATTGTGCTTGTGGCATGTACCTATACCAATAGCACCTTGGGATTTCAGCTACCTCTCTACGTACAACACATGTTCACTGTGAGATCAGAATATCAATTGAGAAAATGAGCCAGATTATAAAGTCGAGCATTCCTGAAAATGTTTATAAGGGTAAGGAATAAGAATAATGTTTAATAAAGCCTTTGGTGTATGAAGCCCACGTATAATCAGCTTAAGAGTAGAACAAAGTAAGTAGTTTTGCTGCCAAGCATTCCCCACATACCCCATGAATTATTGTGCACTATCACAGTGGAAGCTGTGACAATTGCAATGTCTTAATAAGTTGCAGTTTTAAAGTTTTTCCCCTGAACTTTCCAGAGTCTGATACCCTGTAGCCAGTGTGTACTGAAGACTCCTCCCTCCCCACCCCTGTGCTCTGGATGAAACCCAGGGCCCTACACATGCTAGTCAAGCTCTCTACCACTGAGCAACACCTTTTTAGTACTAGCCTGGTACTAAAGACTTGTAATGATTTATCTTCTAAGGTTTTTCTCATGCTATGGATGGGCTATCATACAGGACTCTCTAGGAGAAGAAACTGCAGCTTTCAGAGTGGGTAGGTGTGCAAGGAGCGGTAGCCTCCAAAATGATCAATCTGATAGTACTGGCCCCCGGGAGGGCCCTGCTAAGCATTCTAAACCCAGAGTGTTCCAAACACGATTCTGATGACAACAAAAATAATAATGAAATCGTGACCTCCTCCCACTCTGTTGTCAATAGCCTGTACTGATGTGAGTAGTAAGTACAGAAGCATCTGCGCTGCTCAGGGCCACACACTTTACCTCAAAATGATTTCCCGATCTTTTCTACCCATCACTAGTGACTCAGGGTACTCTCATCTTTTAATGCAAAGAAATTATTCCAAAATAAGAATGATATTAATAATAACATAATTTTTTATTGGCATTCCTTGCAGAGCAGTAACCTTCTATCTATGTGTTGGGAATGATTCCCCTTGAGCCCAGTCAATTCCTGGGCCTTTATGTGCCATTACTGCATGGCTCTGAGCACCTCCCTGTTCCTTGTAGTTTTCATTTGGCCTACCACCAGCCGAGAAGTGGACTATGTTGTATAAATCACTTTATGACACTTAAGCACATGAAAAAAATTGATCTTCCGGTAATCAAAGAAATCAGATTCAAATAATGAGAAATTATTTCCACTTATTTCAAGAGAGAAAAAAATTATACTCTGTAGGGATGAGAAGGTTCAACAAAGCCAGCTGTCCTCTACATGACAGGAGGGACTATGCTTTGAGATGGTTTATATAAGGTCAACTCAATAGTGTGCTTCTTGACTACTCAGTCCTTTTAAAAAACTAAAGATTTATTCTAAGTAATATGAGGCTTGCATTCAGTGTTTGTGGACAGTGGTGTTTCTCAAAGTGTGTTTGGATGAAATTTTCATAAACATCCATACTGGTACAGTGGTATGTATATATGATGGAATACTGTTCACCCATGGTAATCAAGCACTTGAAGAAGTTTTCATTACATTTAAAAAAGTAAAGGCATAGTGGTTAATTATTTCCCAGATTTGTAAAAATTATGTAATTTAGGAAAGTTGTTTAGCATATCTATACTTCAGTTTCCTTACCTGGCACAGGGGGGAAGTAAAGGTGGTCATACAGTTTATTTTTTTTAATTTATTTTTATTAGTTCTAATCAATTATACATGACAGCAGAAAGGTTTTTGATTCATTATACACATATGGAGCACAACTTTTCACTGGCTGGACACGATGTAGAATCGTACCGCATATGCATAGCGCACCATGATCAAGTGGAGTCCATCCCAGGGATGCAAGGTTGATGCAACATACGGAAATCAATAAATGTAATCCATCACATCAATAGACTTAAAGATAAGAATCATATGATTCTTTATGTCAATTGATGCACAGAAAGCATTTGATAAAATACAGCACCTTTCCTGTTCAAAACACTAGAAAAACTAGGGATAGTAGGAACATACCTCAACATTGTAAAAGCTATCTATGGTAAACCCAAGGCCAACATCATTCTAAATGGAGAAAAATTGGAAGCATTCCCTCTAAAAACTGGAACAAGACAGGATTCCCTCTTTACCACTTCTATTCAGCATAGTCCTTGAAACTCTAGCCAGAGCAATTAGACAGACGAAAGAAATTAAAGGGATACTGATTGGAAAAGAAGAACTCAACTTATCATTATTTGCTGACGACATAATTCTATACCTAGAGGATCCAAAAAACTCTACCAGAAAACTTCTAGAATTAATAAATGAATTCAGCAAAGTAGCAGGATATAAAATCAATACCCATAAATCAAATGCATTTCTATACATCACTGATAAATCCTCTGGAAGAGAAATTCAAAATAGCCTCAAAGGAAAAAAAAACAACAACTTGGGAATCAATTTAACAAATGAGATGAAAGACCTCTAGAACACTAAAGAAAGAAATAGAAGAAGACCTTAGAAGATGGAAAGATCTCTCATGCTCTTAGATAGGCAGAATTAATATTGTCATACTACCCAAAGCTCTATACAGATTCAAAGTGATTCCAATTAAAATCCCAATGTCATTCCTTATAGAAATAGAAAAAATCAATCATGAAATTCATTTGTTGTACAGTTTAAATGGAAGAAGTCATTACACAGGCTTAGCACAATGCACAGCATAGTATAAGTGCCCAATTTCCCTGCCTCAGTTTCCTTCTCTGTAAAATGGGAATGACAATCATTCCTACCACAGAGGGATGCTGGTGAGGTTTAAGTGAATAAATGGACAGAAAACACTCAGTGTGGAGCTGGTATGAAGCAGCCACTGTTTGTTAGCTGTTGTATGTAGCATGGGTATGGGAGATGTTCCCATGAGCCTAGATGCCTAGAATAGTGAGGCTGTTTGAAAATCCATGTTTTCATATACACATGGCCTAGAAGACACATATTAAAGTGGCTATCTCTGAGAACAGCAGGATTACAAGTAATGTTTGGTTTGTATTTTCTGTTTTTCCAACATTCATTTTCAACAATGAATATAAAATACTTTAATAATATACAAAAACAATGGTTTTAGAGTTGACACTCTCATCTGCTTAGCCCATGGTTAATCAAAATAGTTGAGTCCCCCAGGCTCCCTTCCAGTTAATGTTTCTTATTATCTGGTCCTTTGTAGTTGGTATCATAATATTCGTGCACAGTGTAACAGTGTTATATGGATAATTTCATTGGTCGCATTAGAACTGAGATTCTAAACCCCTAGATGCCTTCTAGAATCATCTGGAGAGATTTTGAAATAGAGTGCTATCAGGCTCCTTACAAGATCAATTAAATCCAAATTTCTGAGGTTGGGTCCTGGCATCTGTATTTTCTGAGGGCTCACTAGGAGAGCAGTATGTACTATCAGGTAGTAAAGAGCAGCCTGCATTTGATACTACCATTTCCTGCCTGACAAAATTCCCCACAAACACAGCCCACTCTCCATCTGCATCTGCTCTTCCTCTGATCAATCTCAAAGTCAGCCATAGCAGTATTTCCCAAATTGCTTAAGGATAAGAATCCCCTGGACTGCTTGTTCAAAATACAGATGCCTGGGCTAGACCCAGACCTACTAAATTTGAACTTTCATGTGTTGAGATTTGGTAATGTATATACAGTCACATTTCACCAAATGATAGAGCCACATTCTGAGAAATTGTACTTAGGTGACTTTGTCCTTGTACAAATCTCAGTGGCATAGGTCAATTATGCAACGTGGCCTCTTGGTGCAATTAAGAGAGAGGCTAAATGTACGAGGCTGCCACTGTTTTACAATAGATTTTTTTTAAGAAGTAGAAGAAGGACAATTAAATGCATGACAAAAATATTGTGTACTAAATATATAAACCAATAGCATAGTCACTTATTATCAAGTATTATGACTATACATAATTATATGTGCTGTATTTTATATGACTGGCAATGCAACAGGCGTGTTTACACCAGCCTCCCCCCATACTCGTGAATAATGTGTTACACTGCAATGTTACAGTGGCTACAGCATTACTAGGTAGTAGGTATTTTTCTGTTCCATTTATAATCTTACGAGAATACTGTCAGATATGCGAATATCATTTACTAACTTAATGCTGTGCATGACTGGTGATCCTCACCATAGGGGAAGTATGCCTGTGGTATTCAGTCTTGGCTGCATACCAGGGACACCTGGGGAAACCTGGAAGAATTCTGATGCCTGATCGCTCCTGATGTTCAAATTTACAATGTAATGCATCTAGGACACTGCTTGGGCACTGGGATTTGTAAGGTCCCTCCCGATTCAGATGTGCAGTCATGTTGACACTGTAATAACTGGCCAAGTAAAGTCCTAGGACCAGCAGCATCTCCTGCCCAAACCTTGTTAGACATTCCTATAGCCCCGTCCAGTTACTCTTTGAATCAGAAACGGGAAGGGAGTGAGCAGCCAGTGTTTTAGCAACCCTTCTGTGATTCCCACTCTCCCTGAAGATTAAGAATCACTGCTGTAGAGTGATTCTGCATCATCAAAAGCAGGTTCCCAGAGATTGCTCAGTAAGTCTGGATTTAGCCAGGAATGTGCTCAGATTGTCAAAGGCCACACCTTGAGGAACTGTTCCAGGGCATGCCCTTGTTTCCTTGGGGGTTTTAACATAAAGGCCTTGATATCTCATACACCCAGCATCCTTTGTGTTCTTCTGGGTAGCCTGCTGCTGTCACTCCTCAGCCCTTGCTGGCAAAGTATGTGGCTGTCCTCCATCTGTGATCAGTGGGACTTGTTTTCCTTAAAATTGGCAAACCACTGTGATTGGGTAGCAATCTTTCAAAGGCACTAACTTAAGTTTGATTTCACACCAGCCACAGAAGCAGAGAAGTGCATGTTTCTTCTGGGTGTAACATCTACGCCTCTTTGTTTCTTTTGTAGGTTTTATAATCGACCCACCTTAGCATGGTCCTCTCAGCCCCAGATCGGTAACAACCAGGCCTATTGGAGAAGAGGAGGACAGAAGGTCAGTAGCTTGCTGAGTCCAAGAGACCGGCAAGACCTGGAGGTCAGAGGAATGGCCCAAGCCCACAGTATGCCCATCCACGTAAGGGAGGGTTCATGGGAAGTCGGAGGAAGGACAGAGGACGTGATGAAGAAGGCAGTTTGGGAAGAAGAGTTGAGGATGTCAGGTTCTGCCAAGTGGCAGAACGTCAGCCTGGAAAGCTGGAATCAGCCAAGGAAGTTAGGGAAGCAGATGTCTGATGGTGATGGGGAGAAATTGTTTCAAGAGCTGTACCCATTCATTCAAGGTGAACATGTGTTGACTTCTCAGAACAAAAAGAAATCCCGGTCATTGCCTCGAGGTCTTTCCCCTGAAAGCTTGAGCTGCATGGAAATTCCCATTCCAGTAAGTGACGGCCATGTACCAGATATTCCTTTGATATCACCGTATGCTCCAAATTGTGTGCCACATTTGGAGTCCACAAGGAACCCTGAGAAGGGTGGCTCCCTGACCCCTTTTGCACGGCCTAAATTTGGGAGACCCCTCAAGCCTCCATTGTATGGCTCACACCAGCAGACCAGAGGAGAGAACAGCGACCTTCAGGGCAGCCAGCAAACGGACCCCCACGGTTCCTACCCGACCAAAACTAACGACTCCAGGCATGAGCTCAGCATGTCAGACTCTGGCTTGGAGCCTCCAGTTTATGTGCCTCCGCCTTCATACAGGTCGCCCCCCCAGCATATCCCAAACCCCTACTTGGAAGATACAGCACCCAGACACGTGAGTAGTGAACACAGTCAACCGCAACATCTTACTGAGAAGCCGGGGGCCAGTTGTCCACGTCCTTCTGGTGTCGTTGGAACAGGGAATGAGTACCGCATGAGCCCTGGCTCTCCTCGAGGGCTCCCTCAATTCCCCAGTCCTGTCACTGCCCATGAAAACTCTGTTCAGTACATCCCCTTTGATGATCCACGGATACGACATATTAAACTAGCTAAACCTCTGGGTTTCTGTGAAGAAATGAAGCTTGATGATAGGCCATATCACTCTGGTCCCGTTACTGCCCAAGAGCCAGCTCATGGGAAAATGAAATGCGATGGTGCCCTTGTGAATGCACAGGGCCCAATACCCCTGTCGGAGAATGAGAGGAGCTTGGCCTTTGCTGATCCCAGCCCCCGGTGGCTCTGGGGCCAGCACCCTGGGAATGGGGAAGATGGAAACTTCTCTGACCAGAGAGATCCCGGCATTGTAAGAGAACAGTGGACTGGCATAAGAGGAGGCCAGCATGGACGTGAGGAAGGCCAGGTTTCCTCCCCAGACCCACAGAGTGAAAGTACCTGGGAAGTCCAAACCAAGCTCAGAAAGTTTGAAACTGGGATTCAGACCAAGAAAACTTCAAAGAAAAAAATGAACGAGACCATATTTTGTTTGGTTTCCATCCCAGTTAAATCAGAATCACATCTGCCAGATATAGATACGAACAACAATGACTTAAAACAGAGTGCTGATAAAAAGCACAGGGTTGATAAGAGCACAGCTCTGCAGGAACAAAGTCTGTTGAGCACGTCTTCCACTGACCTGGAGCTGCAAGCTCTCACAGGAAGCATGGTCGGGAGAACAGAGTTCACAAAACTCGATCTGGGGGAACCAGAAGAAGACAAACAAACACATGACCTCAGATTTATCCACCTTGCAAAACACAGAGAGTTCAAGTATTCTAGCCCGTGGCCAGGGCATCAATACAAAGATCAGCAAACTCAAACCAACTTCTCTGAAGAATCCCAAAGATCCCAGCTCCTTCCTGATGAAAACGTGGGAGGGATGAGCAACACAGCACCAGCCTCCAAATCCATAGAACCCCCCGCCTCCAGAGCTCTCTTGCACACAGCATTAGTGTCTGGTGACCAAAACCAGAAGCCAGATGCTCATAGCCTAAAAGGTCAAATGTCCCTCAGCCCATCTAGCAACAGTGCTTTCTCAAGGACTTCCTCATCTGTCAATAGCAACAGTGCTTTCTCAAGGACTTCCTCATCTGTCAATCAGGCACTTGTGCCAAAAGTGGGCCAGAGTCAGCCTTGTGTGGGTGTCCAAGAACATGAAGCCCACCCTGCGCCTAAGCCTGAGGTGGTGAAGGGGGAACCCATGGCGGGCCCCTGCAACAGTAAACAGCCATTTGGTCAGTTTCTCTTGAAACCAGTTAGTCGTCGACCCTGGGATCTGATCAGTCAGTTAGAAAGTTTCAACAAGGAGCTTCAAGAAGAGGAAGAAAGCTACAACAGCAGCCTTGAGGAAAGTGAGACTGAACAGCAGCAGGAAGACTACGCTGACTCGGGACCAAGGAACCAGGGCTTCCATGAAAACAAGGAGCAGCAGCCCAGGGTGTTGGTGCCAGAGGATTCAGGGTTTCATTTGGGAAGAATTATAAGTAGATTTGAGAGCTGGAGTGAGGAACCAAATCCTGGCCACCCCTGTGCCCGTCCTCAATTCCCAGGCCCCCTGCAGGTAGAAGACAGCAGAATTGGCCCTTTCCAGTTGGCAGATGGAGGCCTACTTACAGAGAAGGAACGCCAAAAGGTTGTAAATGGAATGAATGAGCAGCTAATCAGCCCAGGTCCTGTCAAAAGAATGATGTCTTCAAGACCAAGTGACACAAAACCAGCACCTCTGTCCTATCTGGCTGAATCTAAAGAGCCACCAGAAAGTCTGAAACTCACCAATGCTCTAAGTTCTGTGCAGCTAAACAAAGGGGTCTCTCTGAAGAATGATGGTAAAGAGAAGGACACAGTGGTCCCACTGTCCCTTACTGTCAAAAATCGAGGCCTCTCAGCACCAGACTTACGGTCTGTGGGGCTCACAATGGGGCAAGAGCAGAATGTCAGTAAGTTAGACGGATCTTTGGGCAAAGGAAGAGCAACAGAAATCCCCCAAGAGGAGTCCCTGCAGGAGAGGGCAGAAAGGATTCTGGGCATTGAGGTGGCTGTGGAGTCCCTCCTGCGGGGCACCAGAACAGGACAGAACGAACCACCCAAGTCTGATACAAGTGCCTGCAGCCCAGAATCCTCCAAGGAAAAGTCACTACCCAGCTCAGTGCCATCAGATGCACCCCTGGTTACCACTGATGCCTTCTATGGCAGGAGAAAGTGTGGCTGGACGGAAAGCCCCCTCTTTGTAGGGGAAAGGGCTCCCCAGACTTGTGAGCCCTTGAATGTGGATGGGGTCCTTACCAGCCAACCCACCAGCCCTGAGCCTCAGCCCAACCACTTGGAGTCCAAGTCCTTTGAGCCAAAGGATGTGGGGGCAAAACCACCCTTCAGGTCCACTTTGTTCCATTTTATAGAAAGGACCCCAAATGTGGCAGGCTCAGAAAAGAGGCTCAGAAACCCTTCCAAAGCAATTGAAAGTTTACAAGAAAAACTGGCATCCCCCCAGAGGAGGGCGGACCCTGACCGCTTGATAAGAATGAAAGAGGTGAGTTCTGTGTCTCGGATGAGGTGCCTGAGCTTCAAGAACATGGACTCTGCAGGGGAGGCGGAGGAACTGAATGTCCCAGGGAACCAGGCCTCGCAGCCAGGAGGACCTGTGTCCCTGAGCAGTGGGGACCGATCATGGAGAGCTGGGCACCTGCCCTCTGTCTCCAAGGATGTCATCTCTCAGGAAGAAAATGGGCATCTGGCAGGTCAGAGGGAGCGGAAGAACACGGATCAAGGCTTCTGGTGCCCAGGTGAGAAGTTAGGCAAGAAGGCCAGCGTTTGTTATTAATTTGAAATCCTAAATTGATTAAAAAAAAGGTTTATCAATATTGTAAATCTGCATATTCTGAGAAAGTAGACCCTGTGGATCATTTCATCAAAAGATTGTTCATTTTCAAAGAATTGTCCAGAACATTTCCTTAGAAATCAGGATCTTTTGTAGAAATTATCCATGTAAACAACTGTATAAAATTATCTATATAATCAACTTTTCAGGCCTCTTACTATAACAAGGTAAGACAACAAAGCATCCATTATCCCAGGCAACTTCATAAGTTTCCTTGGAGACCACAGCATTTTATCTCCTCCTAAAATAACAGGCATTCACCCAAGTGATCTTCACTGCTCTTTATTTTCTGTTATGAAAAGATACACCAGGTTGATTTGATCATCAGTCCCTTTAGGTTGTGTACTTTCCAATACTCTTTGCTTCCCAATTTTTCACCATTTATGAAACATTTCAAGATTTAGTAGGCTAAATTCACAGTTTGCACTGTCTTAAGTCCATTTCTGTTGCTGTAATAACCTGGTTATTTATAAAGAAAGAAGTTGTATTTTGGCTGAATTCTGAAGGCTGAGAAGTTTGAGACGGGGCAGCTGTACCTGACCATAGCCTCATGCTACTTCATAACAGATGCATCTGCAGGTGCTCGTATGTGACAGAGCGAGGGGAGGTTCCAGGCTCACCTGTAACAACATGGTCTGGAAACAACTGACCCATTCTCTGTATCACTCCTTTTAAAAAGCAGTCCCCTCTTAAAGGCCCTGCTGCTGTTCAGTACCTTACACTGGGGATTAGCCTCCAACATGAGTTTTGATGGGGACAAACCATATTCAAACCACAGCCACCCGCCAGCTCTGTTTCTTAAAGTCCCCTAAGTTTTCATTGCTAAGTCTCATGTGAGGCGTTTGAACCCTCTCTGTTGTCTTACCTTAGTGTGTTTTAATGCGGCCCCCTCTGTTTCATGGAACCACTGGGCAGTTTCCCCATTAACAGTAACAGTGATATTTTTTTTTTTCATAAACTCGATTTCACCGTCTCATCTGTGACGAAAACAGACCCAGCAAATTCTTGGAATCTCTGGGAATTATCTTTAGAAACTGGGAATTAATCCATCATATATCCTAGAAGTCACTAGACAGTTAGTTGAAGTAAATATCAGAAAGTTCACATCATAAACCACAGTCTGGAAGGAACTTCCAATCATTGAGTCCAGACCCTTTTAGAGTTAAGGGGAAACTGCCCATGAGTGGAGAGTCTGGAAGTTGCCACTTCCTGAGTCAGTCCGTCTTCCCAAGCTGCCCACAAGTGGTGCTGCTCCCTTCCACCCCTATTTTTATTTTCTGTTTAAAATCTAAGAGTTTAGAAGTAGATGGGAAAGGGCAATTGTTTCAGCTAGTGGAATCTAGAAATTTTAATCTTAAAATATATGCTGGGTGCACTTTAAAAATCTTTCCAGAAATGCAGTATGATTTTTAGCCAGTGTTGCTCTGTTCCTTATGCAAAATGCATTATTGATGCAATCTGTTCATCATGGCTCTGTTGGGGCCTTTGACTTGGCAAGTTGGCAGGGCTTTTGCTGAAGAAGACAGTACTAAGTTTTGGAGTCTTTGTCATTTTAGTGGAAAAGGTTTTTACATGGCCCATATTTTAAGCTATTGATTGATTTTAAATTGACAGGCAAAATTGTATTTGTCTTGTACAATGTGATGTTTTAAAGTATATATACATTTTGGAATTACTAAATGAAACTACTAGAAGAAAACATAGAGACAGTGACGTTGGTTGAGCAATGATCTTTTTGGATATGACCTCAAAAGCACAATTACTAAATCTAGCTAATCAGCAATGTGTTATCTTACATAGTTATCGTTTTTTATGGTGATAACAATGTTAAATCCATTCATTTTTCATTTTTCAAGAATACAATATACTGTTACTAACTATAGTCACTAGGCTATGTAATAGATCTCTTGACTTTATTCCTGCTACCTAGCTGTAATTTTATATACTTTGACCAACATTTTCTCATTCCCCTGCAAACACCCCAGCCTCTGGTAATAACTATTCTACTTTTTGCTTCTATGAGATGAACATCTTCTTATTATATGTGAGTGAAGTGACTCAGCATTTGCTTTTGTGGGCATGGCTTATTTCACTTAAAATGTCTTATGTTGTCATAAATGATAGGATTCCATTCTTTTTATGGCTGAGTAGTAGTTCATTGTGTGTATGTACCACATTTTCTTTATCCATTGATAGACACTTAGATTGATTTCATACCTTGGTTGTTCTGCCCATAATGCTACAAGGAACGTGGGAGTGCAGATGGCTCCTCAACATGCTGATTTCCTTTCCTCTGGATATATATCCCAACATTGTGATCCCTGGATCTTAGGGTAGTTCCACTTTTAATGCTGTGAGGACCTTGCATCCTCTTTTCCATTGCAGCTACACTAATCTACATTCCTACCAGTAGCACATATGTGTTCCCTTTTCTCCACATCCTCACTAACACTGGAATCATTTGTATTTTTGAGAATAGCCATTCTAACAGGAGTGAAGTCATATCTCATTGTGGTTTTGATTTGCATTTTCCTGACAATTAGTCTTGTTGAGCATTTTTTCATATATCTATAAATCATTTGTGTGTGATATTTTGAGAAATATCCATTCAGATCCTTTTTAAAAATCAGATTTATTTCTTGCTATTGAGTTGTTTGAGTTCTCAGTTTTGTATATTTGCCTCTTATCAGGCATATTGTTTGTGAATGCTTTTTCTCATTCTGTAGGTCATCTCCTTACTTTGTCATTTCCTCTGTTGTGCAGAAGTTTTTTAGTTTGTTAGAACCCATTTGTCTATTTTTGCTTTCGTTGCCTGTGTTTTTGAGGTCATATCCAAAAAGATCATTGCTCAACCAACGTCATTGTCTCTGTTTTCTTCTAGTAGTTTCGTGTTTTGGGGTCTTACATGTAAGTCTTTAATCCATTTAAACTGATTTTTGTGTATGTAAGACATAAGACTCTAATTTCATTTTCCTATATGTGGATATCCAGTTTTTCCAGCATCATTTATCTAAGAGACTGTCCTTCCTCTATTGTTTGTTCTTAACACTTTTGTTTAAAAAAAAAAAAAAAAAATTAGTTGCCCCGAGCTGCTTGGGAGGCCAAGGCAGGAGGATTGCGAGTTCAAAGCCAGCTTCAGCAAAAGCGGGCTGATAAGCAACTCATTGAGACCCTGTCTCTAAATAAAATACAAAAAAGGGCTGGGGATGTGGCTCAGTGGTCAAGTGCCCCTGAGTTCAATCTCCAGTACCTCCCACACCCCAAATTTAGTTGCCTATAAATGTGTGTATTTATTATTGGGCCCTCTGTTCTGTTCCATTTGTCTGTGTATCCGTTTCAATGACCATACCATCATGTTTGGGTTACTATAACATTTTAATGTATTTTGAAGTTCTGCGTCTAGCTTCAAGATTGCTTTGGCTATTCAGAGTTTTTTGAGGGTTCATACAAATTTTAGAGTGTTTTTTTAATATCTATTTCTATGAAGAAATAGTTTGGTATTTTGATCAGGGATTGTAATGTATCTGTAGATTGCTTTGGGTAACATGGATATTTTGACAATGCCTATTTTTCTAATTCACATCTATGAGATATCTTTCCACTTATTTGTGTCTTTAATTTATTTCATCAGTGTTTTACAGTTTTTAGTGTTGATGTATTTCATCTCCTTGGTTAAATTTATTCGCAAGAGGGTTTTTTTTGTAGCTATTATAAATGAGATTGTTTCCTTGATTTATTTTTCAGATAGTTTGCTATCAGCGTATAAAAACATTACTGGTTTTTGTATGTTGATATATCCTGCAACCTTATCAAATTAATTTATGAGATCATAACAGTTTTTAATGGTCTTTAGAATTTTATAATATATATAATCATGCTACCTGCATATAGGTATGATTTCTTTCTTTCTAATTTGGGTGCCTTTTATTTTTCCTCTTGCCTAATTGCTCTGGCCAGGATTCCTAGTACTGGGCTGAATAGAAGTGGTGAAAGTGGGCATCCTTTTCTATTTCAGATCTTAGGGAAAAAATGTTTGACTTTTCGCCATTCTGTGAGATTAGCTGAGGACTTGTCATGTATGACCTTTATTGTGCTGCAATACAAACCTTCTGTTCTTAATTTGTTCAGGATTTTTATCATGAAACAATGTTGAATTTTCTCAAGTGTTTGTTTGGTGTCTATTGAAATGATCATATGTCCCTTATTCTTCACTCCATTAATATGATATATCATATTATTGATAAATTATTGAACCATCCTTGCATCCCTCCATCATGACTAGCATTTTTGATGTGTTGTTCAATTGTGTTGCTAATAACTTGTGGGGGGTTTTGCATCTCTTTTTGCCAGGGATACTGGCTATAGTTTCCTTTTTTATTGTTGTTGTGTCCTTGTCTGACTTTGGTATCAGGGTAATGCTGGTCTAAGAGAATGGGTTTAGAAGCAGTTCCTCCTCTTTAAATGTTTGGAATGATTTGAGAGGACTTGGTAATGGTTCTTTAAATATTTTGTATGGTTCAGCAGTTGAACCCTCAGGTCCTGGATGTCCCTTTGATGAGACACATTTTATTATTGATCCAACTTCCTTTCTCATTATTATGTTCACAGTTTCTATTTTCTCATGATTCAATTCTGAATGTTGTCTGAGTCAGGAATTTGCTCATTTCTTGTAGGTTGTTCAGCCTCTTGGTGTGTGATTGTTATAATAGTCTTCTGAGTCTTTGTATTTCTGGGATCTAAGTTCTGATGTCTCCTTTTCCATCTCTGATTTTATTTATGTCTATTCCACTTGTTTCCTAGTCTAGCTAAATGCTATCAGTTTTGTTTATCTTTTCAAAAAAACAACCATTCATTTCATTGATCAGATTTAAGAGTGGTTTTTTGTTTGTTTGCTTGTTTAGTATT